GATCCACTCAGGAGAGAAACCCTATAAATGCACAGAGTGTGGAAAGATCTTTGCTAATAACAGTGACCTAAGAATACACAAAAGAATCCACACAGGAGAGAAACCATATAAATGCATGGAGTGTGGAAAGACGTTTACTCATAGCAGTGACCTAAGAATACACAAAAGGATCCACACAGGAGAGAAACCATATAAATGCATGGAGTGTGGAAAGACCTTTGCTCAAAGAGGTCATCTTATTTCTCATAAGATGATCCACACAGGAGAGAAACCATATAAATGCATGGAGTGTGGAAAGACCTTTGCTCAAAGAGGTCATCTTATTTCTCATAAGATGATCCACACAGGAGAGAAGCCGTATAAATGCATGGAGTGTGGAAAGACGTTTTCTCAGAGCAGTGACCTAAGAATCCACAAAAGAATCCACACAGGAGAGAAACCTTATAAATGCATGGAGTGTGGAAAGACGTTTACTCATAGCAGTGGCCTTAGAAACCACAAAAAGCTCCACTCAGGAGAGAAACTATATAAAGATCCTCCTACTCAAGTGAAGCTCCTTCTCCTTCCCCAGAGCCCCATTCCTCCAGCTCTGCCAGGAGCAAACTCTGAACGGGGATCATGGGGGCCCTGATAGGAGTGGACTTCCTCCCTGTGGGGCTCTTCTCCTACCTGAAGAGCAAGAAAGGTGAGTCTGGGTGGCTGGAGGAGAGGTTGTGGGGAGGGGACCATCTAGGGGAGGCCTCTCCTCGAGCTCAGCAGGTGGCCAAGAGGGCCCCCCTGAGGAATAGTTTTGGGAACTTCTATATTTGGGGCTATTAAGGGAAGATCATCCAACCTATTATGGGCTATCAATGGGGAGGGGGACTCCCTGAGTCCTCCAGCCCACGAAGGTCCTGACTGGCTCTTTTTCTCCATTTAGCAATTTCTGTCCAACCTCCAGCAGGTGAGTTTCTTCTCTTTCCCCCCATCTCAACCCATCCTACTAGTTATAGGTGAGTTTTTAATTGCTTAATTGTTCCTTTGAAAAAAACATGTCTGAACAAAATCTCCCTTCTGTGGATATAGCAATTTTTTGGATTTTGGGCAGCTTTTCTTTACAGAGATCTGAAAAAGTATTGCAATCAAAAACAAAAGTACACACAAACAAAATATTTCCCAGAATTTTTTCAAGTTTTGGGAAATTGCAAAACAGAATGGAAGGAGGGAAGGGAGGGAGCCCCCCCCCAGGTTTAAATTCCCCCCTCCCCCCATTTTGTTAGGAACCCACCCTTTCTGGGAGATCTTCCCAGCTAGATTGCTGATAATGAACACAACATCTCAGGTTCTATCATTGCGTTAGCTCGTTCTGCAGGTCCGTCCGTACTTGAATGGAAGGTGGAGTTACGTCTTTGAGAATGATGACCCTATCAACTTAATGAACTCCCTCCAAAACTTTGCCATAAACTGAAGCCCCCCACAGTCTGAGATGATCCTTCTTGGCACCCTATGGAGACTCATTTGAGTTCACTACTTGGAACCTCGACAGGCTCTTCTTCCTGACCCCCCTTCTGGCCACGTGACCCCAGGCTCCCCCCTTTGCTGCCATCCTATCCTAGCCCCATCTTCTTTGTTCATAGGAAGCATCCAGCCTTTTCTTCCCTGAAATGGTAGATTCTCTATCCTTCCTGCTTCTCAACCACCCCGCTGCAGTGTGGGCCTACCTTGGGGATGGGGGGGCTGAAAGGGGAAGAAAAATACGTTATTTACACTAAAAATGTCTCTTTTATATTCTAATTTTCTTCCCCATCTCTTTTTCTGCAGCCGTCATGGATTAATTCTGCTCTCCGATGCAAAAGGATATTTTTTCTTTAGTGGCTGATGATTCTTTCTCCTGTTTGCAACCTCTGAAAAAATGGAGGCTGAAGGTGGCAACTCCCCTCATCTGTAGGCAATGGGGTGTCAGGATGTGTTTTCTTTATGAACACTGACAGCTTCTGCACCAAAGACAAATTCCCTGTGTGTCCAATCATGCTTGGTCAATAAAGAATTCTGTTCTGTTCTGTTCTATTTTATTCTATTCCCCCACCTGGAGGCTCAGCCATGGGGCGGAGGAGGACAATCCCTGAAGAATCCAGGCTTGTTGCCTGCTGGATTCTGGCCACTTTCTCAGTTACGCTTTGGAGGAGCCCAGCACTTCAGGCTGGGGAAGCGGAACCCAAGCACCTTTGCAGCTGATGGAGGTTGGAGGAAGAAGCTCTCTTTGGGTGTGTCTGAGTGAGTGAGTGAGTGAATAAGGTTCTCTGGCAAACAGCAGGAAAGGAGAATCTGGATCTTCAATAACATAAAATGTTTGTCAGATTTTTTGAGCTTAAAGGTTTATTTCAAATCAAGGCAGAGATTTGGAAAGTTGGGAAAAGCTATGTTTATTTGGAAACGATATTTCTCTTAAAAGGAAGTTTTGTACGACACACATACAAGAGTTGGAGAGAGTTGCAGACAAAAACGCCATCAAGTTTTCCAGGGAGGGAAACTGCAGGGAGGGTCCTTTGTCCTTCGACTGAGAATTGGGGAGGGTGACCGAGGAGCCGCTGCTCAGACGGGAAACCTGCCTGAATTCTGGGCTTGGGCCGGAAGAGAAGCAGGGATTGGGGGTCTTGGCTGGGCTCTGGGTGGGGGAAAACTCCGCTTGCTACCCTTCCTGGAGGGGAAGAGCGACCAGAGTCCCCCTCCTGCCCTGGGGATCTCCCTTGCTCACTTGGGATCCCAGAGACAAATCCCGGAGTAGAGCACTATCTCCAGGGATCGCCCCTCAGCTGACAGGCCGAAGCCTGGAGAAGGTTGATCAGCCTGGGAGGGAAAATGGGATTTCCTGACTGGGAGAACCATGGATCAATGGAGCAGCCCCTCCCCCACCTGGAATTGGGGTCTCCATCCCTGGAGGTCTTCCAGAAGAGGCTGGATGGCCGTTTGTCCGGGGTGGGATAAGGGCTCCTCCTGCCTTGGCCAGGGGGTCAGATTAGAAGACCTCTAAGGTCCCTTCCAGCCTCTGAGCCTCCCTCTCCCCATTGGCTCTCCCCCCACCGAAGCCCCCCGCCCCCCCCAGCCACTCCTGCATGGAGTTGGCAGGAAAGACCCCCTAGGGCTTCTGCCTTGGCCTGGGCATCCGACTAGAAGATTAGAAGTACAGAGAACAACAAAGATGGTTAGAGAGCTGGAACTTAAGGAAGAACTGGAATCAGGTACGGTTTGTCTAGTGGAGAGAAGGACTGCGGGTGGCATGAGAACAATCTTCCAACACCTGGGGGGCTGCTTCAAAGAAGGGGGGGGGGTCCACCTGCTCTCCACACACCAGAAGGCAGTACGAGAACTGATCGATGGGAACTGAACAAGGAGAGAAGCAACCTGGAATCTCTTGACAGTGAGAGCCATGAACCAGTGGAAGAAAAGTTGCCTCCAGAGGTTGTGGCTGCTCCATCACTGGAGGCTTCCAAAAGGAGACAGGAAAGGGACTCCTGCCCGAGCAGGGGGTTGGACTAGAAGACCTCTGAGGTCCCTTCCAACTCTGCAATTCTGCCTTGTGTGTGACATTGTTGTCATTGAAACTCCGCTTCTGTCTCTGCTTCCAACTGTCTCCTCCAATGGGTGAAAGCGAGAGAGACCCTGCCCGGATACTGATGATGCTGCATCACGGGGAATTCCAATTGGTTCTTCTGCTTCTGGCTCCTCTCCAGGCTGACTTTGAGGGAAGGAAGCTCTTTTTTAACTCTTTCCCCTCCACTCCGCTGAAGATGCTCCCCAATTGGGACAGAAACCTTGTTGTGGGGGAAAAGACCCACAAGTCAGAAGGAGGAACCTTCGCTCTCCTAACTCTTCATCTCCCACTCAGTCCAGACCCACCAATTCTGCTTCTGGAGGTGGAAACATCCAGGTCGCTCCCTTCATGGGGGGGGGCGCTTGTGGGGCAGCACCCATGGGCTCTGCTGGGGTCCCCCAGCTGTTGATGGGGGTGGTGCACTGGAAGTAAAGGGGGGAAGGAGATGCCCGAGAAGGAGGGGCTGGGAGGGACCCATGGATGCTGGGGGACGGAGGGGGGAAGAAGGGGGCTGGGTCCCCCAGGAGAGACTTTGGGAAAAGGGTAAGGCCCGAATCACTTCAGAGCCCCCCCAAATATTCTTCCATTCAAAGAGGAAGGAGGTGGAAAGAGAAAGAGGGAAACTGAGTCATTTTCAGCCCTGAATCCAAAAATGCCATCAAAATATATAAGAAAAAGAATTTTGGCACCTTCAGAAACTTCACTATTTCTTCTGAATCTCAAATTTGAGGCTTTGAAAGTCAAGCTAGAGGGGAGCTCAGATCCCTTCTGGGGGAGCCTCTGAATTTGCGGAGGGGACCAAGGACCCCCCAGCCCCTAAACCCCCTATCACAGACCCTCCCCTGAGTTAGTTAGAAAGAGGCCCCTTTCTGAGAAGGACCAGGCTCCACGGGGGGAGGGGACAGTTTGGGAACCTCAGCAGATATCTAGTCTATCCCTCCATGCACATACAGGAAAGTGAAGCTGAGAATTGTCAAGAGAGCAAAGAAAGTGTATCCCCATTTGAGCTGCAGCCCCCCCCAAGACTGAAGGGATCCCCCCTCCCACTTTCAGCTTCATTCTCTGTCCCCGAACGCCCTCCCCCAAACTTCAGGTCATAAAGGACTCTGCCCAGACACCAATGATGCTTCAACAGGAAGAATTCCCATTGGTGGTTCAGCTTGTTCTGGCTCCGCCCAGCACATAAATGCAAGAAAAACCCTTCCTCCCTGTCACATTTTCCTCCTCTCTCTCTCTCTCTCACACACACACGCACAAAACACACACAAAAACATGTGTTCATTTTGTGGACAGGTCCTGCTGTTGGAAGAGCTGCTGCACTAGATGACAAGGGGGTCGAAGTCGGGGGTCACCCACAGACACCCCCCAAACGGGAGGGAAGCCCCGGAAAACCCTCCACTAAACCAGGGAGAGGCTCTGCTTCACTTTGCTTTGGGGGAAGAAAAAGGCAATCCACCCCCTTGAAACTCGCATCTCCCTTGCTCGGAATGTCTGGAGAAAGCGGCTCCTTCCAGTCTCTTGCCCCTCCAACCCCCACTTTCCTTCCTTCTGGGGGTCAGAAGGATCCCCCCATTTTCCTCGCAAGGCAGCCTTGAAAGGAGATCCCGGAGTAAAGTTTGGGCCATTTCTCCTCCGCTTCCTGCTCCTTTCCTCGGAGAACTTCGATGGGGTTGGACGAGATGACCTCTAGGGTGCCTCCCAACTCTGTCAATCTGTAATCTTGCCACCATCTCAAGACGTCTAAGAATCTATATACTTCTTTTCAGATTGCTGGGGACAATAAGCTGACTTTGTAAACTGCTCAGAGGGTGTGGTAAAGCATCGTGGAGTGGTATATAAGTCTAAGTGGAATTGCCATTGCTATAATACAGTAGTTTCTCCCCAGCGTGGAACCTTTTAGGAGAAATAAGATGACCATTCTGAGCAAAACTCTTTCTACATTCCATGCATTTTACTTTATTTTATTTGAGTATATGTTTTGTTCATAAACATTTTGAATACAGTGTATTGTCAGGGCATGTCATTTACGAAAATGCAAAAGAAAATGCAAAAGAAAAAACAAACAACATATATACCAGCAACAATAATGATAGTGTAACAAAATAATTTTAACTCACTTCTTGTATTAGCTTATTTATACTTTTTATGTTAATTATGTCAAATGTTTCTAATTGTCAACCCGCTTTGTATTTAATTCCTACATAACAATAATATTCCTTCACCTAATTTTAATGGGAAATAACATTTCATCTATGAGCAAAGGTCTTTCTGAATTCGATACATTTATATGGCTTCTTTCGTGTGGATCATCTTATGGGAAATAAGTTTATATCTAGGAGCAAAGAACTACCCAGATCCCATGCATTTAAATGATTTCTCTCCTGTGTGGATCTTTTTGTGCCTTTTAAGATCACTGCCACGAGTAAACGTCTTTTCACACTCCATGCATTTATATGGTTTCTCTCCTGAGTGGATCATCTTATGAGAAATAAGATGAACTCTCTGAGCAAAGGTCTTTCCACACTCCCTGCATTTATATGGTTTCTCCCCTGTGTGGATCATCTTATGGGAAGTAAGTTTATATCTATGAGCAAAGGACTTTCCACAATCCATGCATTTATACGGCTGGTCCCCAGTGTGGATCATCTTATGGGAAATAAGATGACATCTTTGAGCAAAGGTCTTTCCACAATCCATGCATTTAAATGGCTTCTCCCCTGAGTGGATCATCTTATGGGAAATAAGATTACCTCTTTGAGCAAACGTCTTTCCACACTCCATGCATTTAAAAGGTTTCTCCCCTGTGTGGATCATCATATGGGCAGTAAGCTTATGTCTATGAGCAAAGGACTTTCCACACTCCATGCATTTAAATGGTTTCTCTCCTGAGTGGATCTTTTCGTGCCTTTTAAGATTCTTGTCGCGAGCAAAGGTCTTTCCACACTCCATGCATTTATACGGCCTCTCCCCTGTGTGGATCATCTTATGAGAAATAAGATGACCTATTTGAGCAAAGGTCTTTCCACACTCCGTGCATTTATATGGTTTCTCCCCTGTGTGGATCTTGTTGTGGCTTCTAAGTCCACTACCATGAGTAAATGTCTTTCCACACTCCATGCATTTATACGGTTTCTCCCCTGTGTGGATCTTTTTGTGGCTTCTAAGACCACTGCTCCAAGCAAAGGTCTTTCCACACTCCATGCATTTATACATCTTCTCGCCTGTGTGGATCCTTTCATGGAAAGTAAGTTCCCTGCTTGTTTTAAAACATTTTCCACATTCCAAACATTTATAAGGCTTCTCTTTTGTGTCAATCGCTTTTTGAGATATAAGAAAGTTATTCCCATGAGAAAGAATGAATGTCCCATTGTAATTTTGTCCATTGTGTCTTCTTATAGCATCTTTTCCTTTGTTTTGGGTTAAATTGTGTTCATTTACTTGTACTTCAGCTTTTATTAGCTTCACACTTTTTCCAGTATATTTTTTCCTTATTTTCTCTTCTTGGGCAAGAAAGTCTTGCATCGGAACATCAGTGGAAGATGAGCTTTCCTGATACCAATTCTTTGACTGGTTTCTCTCATGGCTTTCGAATTCCATTCGAATTCCTAACTTCTCAGTTGCATCTTTAGCACTGATCACTTGGAACAGTTCACAGTAATCTTGATTTTCCTGTCGATTATTACCTACAAAGAAATGAAAATGATAACAAAGTTAGAGAAAAAGATCTAAGTGTAGAAAGTCAAGTGAATTTCCTTCTGAATTTCTCCAAAATTGCACTACGTTGTGTTTGCAAGCTTATAGTGGTGTGATATAGACATGATGATTTCTATATTCATGAGTCATGAAAGCTTTGAAAATATCTAGAAAACATCTCCTTTCTTATATTTATCTCTATATATGCAAATCTCACTCAGAGTCAGTTTTGAGTTAAGGAATAATCAGGGGAAACTTCCAAGGAGGAATTAGGAGAAAACTTAAGATTTATTGGGGTGGGTTACTTTCAGCAGAGACCTGTGAGAAATGAAACAATTTTGAAACAAGCTACTTCTTCCCTGATGTACCTTGGAGCAGCTGCTCCATGGTGTCTGTCTGGTGGGGAGGACCCCCGCTCGGCCTATTCCTCAATCCCAGCGATCAGACTTTGGAGATAAATCCCTTGCTGAAACATTCCATTGGCTTATAAATGCTTTGTGCTGAAACTGGAAAGGTTGGGATGCTTCAAGAATGGCTATTTCACTGCCCCAAAGTCTCATTGGCTTGCAAGGGCTCGTTGGCCATATCTGGTACAGGTGTTGTTTGTTAGAGAATGGAGGCAAAAGTACTTTAGTACGAGATCACATAAGATCAATAGTGCAAGATCTCAGGCTACTAATCTCGTGTGATCTAATCTTGTGTGATCCAGGTAAAAAGTCTTTGAAAACAAAGAGGGTACTGGGTCTCAAATACTGGAGGAGGGCTGGTCATAACTTGGAACGGTTGCTAAGTGAACTGTCATAACTTGGGGATAACTTGTATCCTAGGATGCTCTGAGTCACACTGCATGAGGCGTTTGTTTTTGAATTGGATTGGGAGAATGCTCTTCCATGGGCTGAGCATGAAAGTTCTGTTCTCACACAATTTAGGGAAGCTCCAGAAGACAAATGACAACACACTCCCCTCACACGACCTCCAGAGGACACATAAAAGCACACCTCGTTCTTTTCAGCCTCCACATATAAGTTCTTATCTGTATTTTGAAAAAGACAGATAAGAAATGGCAGAGAAAGAATCCAAGCAAAGAGACATTAACTCTTTCCTGCCATGAAGCATGACAAGGCCAGATCCTTTCCTTCTCCCTTCCAGGAGACAATATCTGATTATTGGCTTTTTAATAAAAAAAAAAACTGACTATAATCTTTTTTCTTGAACTCTTTGATTAGGGACTAAAAAATTCTTACCCAGAGAGACCACGTTCCTATGGTTTTCAAGCATGACTTCTGAATGCAGCGCTTTCTGGTCAGGATCCAGCTGAGACCATTCCTCCTCAGAGAAATACACAGCCACCTCCTCAAAGGACACAAGACCTTCCTGGACATGGAAAAAAGAACAGAACAGGAGGATTCGCAAGATCTGTTCATCTCCATCATTCATTTAGACAAAAGGATAGAAGGAAAACTCATCAAATTTGCAGACAAGACCAAGTTGACAGGAATACCAACACTCTAGAAGATAAGCTCGAGATACAGAAGGATCGACAGATTGGGCCCCAATCAACAAAATGAAATCAACAGTCAGAAATATAAGGTTCTATACTTAGGAAAGAAAAAAACAAATGGACTGGCATAGAATAGGTGATATCTGGCTCCAGAGTAGTAAGTGCAACAGGGATCTTGGAGTCCTAGTGGACAACCACTGAAACATGAGTCAGCAATATGCTTCAGTTGCCCCCAAAAGCCCCAACAGAATCATAGGCTGCATTTAGAGGGATAGAATCAAGATGACATGAAGTGTCAGCCTTCAAGATTTTCTCCCTTTGCTTTGCATTTTTCAGCTGTCAGAAGTAATGGGGGGAGGAGGGGGGATTTGGTTATGGGAAGTGAGCTGCAGGTGTTACAAAACAGAACTGTATAAGCTGGGGGGGTAGATTCTTGCTTAGGCTTCCATCTTATGCCATGTGCAGCTGCAACTCTTTATCAAAATATGTCGAGGTCAACAGAGGTCTCATCACCTCCTGGAGATGCTCACATGATGATATACACAACTTTTAACTGGATGAACCAACTGAACTATTTGGAGTGGGAACGTTGCCATTACTTTGTATATGTGATTTACGTGCCCATTTTCTCAGATTCAGAATTCTTTCGTTGCTACCACTTGATTTCCAGTAAAAGATATCTTTTCTCTGATTAATGGAGTCTAAGTATTTTTTTCTTGGATTTTGAATGGAGCACCAGCTGACATTATTCTGAATCTCCACGTTACCAGACCACTCGGAGAATTTTCTTCTGAGTGGGTCTGAACAAAATGTCAAATCCAGCCAGTGACCAAGAAGACCTGGGAGTAACTGGAGAACAAGATTCCCTGCTGTTAGAGGCAGCAGCGGAAGCCGACTTGTTAGCAGAATTAAATCTTGGTGAAAAACCAGCTGTAAAATCCAAATGGTCCCTGAAAGTCAGCTGGAAGGATCCTGAGGAAAAGCCTCCTTCAGGAGTGACCGCTACCCGTTGGTGTGGAATAGAGCAGCCATGGCAAGAGAAGCAAAGAAAGAGTTTTTTTACTAACTCAAGCCATGCATCTTTTAAATGAAGCTATCAGAGAACCTCAAACTGATCAAAGGTATGAGGGAGAGGAGAGGGAGGCAGCCCCATCCAGAAGAATCAGAGCAGCCACCCCCATAAATCAACCTGGGCTGGCGTAACAGGCAACAACCCAGGGGCCCCCAGTGGGGTGGGGGGAGTAATTGCCAGGAGGCATGGAACTCCAAAGGTGCCTCCGTTGGAAGTAAAATATGAGGGGGATCCCAAGGAGTTAGGATTCTTCCTAGCACAAGTCTGGAGCCATATGGAGGAATATGGAGAGGATTTTTCCTCAGAAGCAGCCAAAGTTAGATGTGTTACAAGGGCTCTGGAGGGAACAGCAGCAAAGTGGATGGTGACTTTGCATAATAATAATGCCTTTCAGCTGATGAATTATGATCTGTTCGTGACTGTGCTGCGGGCCAGGTTTGAAGACCCACTTGCTGAATTTAAGGCCCGAATTAGGATGAAGACCATAAATCAGGGGCGGAGATCAGTGGCCGACTACACCCAGGAATTTAGAGAGCTGGCGTGTCATATTCGAGGCTGGTCCCAGGGAGCCCTGATAGAAGCTTTTAAAGATGGGTTGAATGAAGATGTATATCAAAGCTGTATTGCCAGAAGAGACCCCAGTGAGCTGCAGCTGTAGTACGTGCTGGCAGCAGAGGTGGAAATTGATCTGACCCAAAACAGACACAGGCAGGGTTCTGGTTGGAGCAAGTCCTCCTCCACCAGCCCTCGAGAAGCCTTAAAACCTCAAAAGGGAGGAATAGTGGCAAGACCCAAGACTACTGCATGCTTCCGATGTGGGAAGGAAGGTCACCGGGCTGCAGACTGCCATGCCAAGCTAGAGCCAAAGGGGGTGCCAGGAGGAGGAAGAAAACCTGAAAAAAACCCAGCAAAGCCTCGCGAAACGGCGCTTAAAGTGGAGATTGTAGAGATCGCCCCTCCAAAAGGAGAGGAGCTGGGAACTCCAACTCTTCTGAAGAGAGTGAATCCGAATTGGACGATGACTCACTGGTAAGTCCAAAAAGGGCCCTATGACCATTCCAGTGAGATTAAGGGTACACATGTCGGGAGCCAAAGGGGAAATGCTGGCCTTGTTAGACTCTGGGTGCACAAGGTGCGTAATCAGCTCGGAGGTAGTAGAGAAAATGGGCTTAAGGCTAAAGATTTTAAAAACACCCATAGCCTTTTGCCAATTGGATTGATCAGTAGCTGGGGGCAGCCCTGCACATTTCATAATGGAACCAGTAGAAATGACGATGGGAAAGCATAGACTTTTTGTTTTATTGTGGCTCCTGGGATGGAACGCCCCCTAATACTGGGTTTGCCCTGGCTCCAGAAATGGAACCCCACGTTGATTGGAGGTGGGGATCATTGCGCATACGTACTGACCAACGCCCAGAAGGGGAGGGGCAATCTCAACTGAAACTCAAGAATTCCACTGAGCTGGCCTCCACTGGCACTGAGAGTCTGAAGGGCGAGGAGAAAATTCCGGAGGAATATTGGGACTTAAAGGAGGTATTAAGTGAAAAGGCCTCGGACAAGCTTCCCCACATCGCTCAACAGATTGCAGCATTGAAATTTTGCCAGGAGTGAAACTCCCAAAACCGAAACTGTACTCGATGACACCACAGGAGCTAAAAGAGCTGTGGTCATTTATCGATAGAAATTTGGAACGTGGTTTCATCCAACCTGCTAGACCCCGGGTAGCAGCCCCAGTATTGTTCCACGAGAAGTAAGATGGCTCTCTTCGTTTATTGTGGACTATAGAAAACTCAATGCTATTTCGGTGGAGAACGTGTACCCCTTCCCCTTGATGAAGGATATGTTGGCCCACTTGGCCAAAGGGAAAATTTTTACGAAACTCGACCTGAGAGAAGCATACTACTGAGTTTGAATTAAGGAAGGGGATGAATGGAAAACTGCTTTTAACTGCCCAATGGGCTGTTTCCAATTCAACGTTCTTCCATTTGGCCTACAGGGGGCCCCTTCAGTATTCATGCAAATGATCAATCAGGTGTTGCATGAACATTTATACAAAGGGGTGTTGGTTTACCTTGATGATATTCTTATCTACATGGAAACTCGTGATGAACATGTGAAACTAGTGCGGTCAGTTCTGGAAAAACTTCAAGCTGCTGAGCTATATGCAAAATTGTCCAAGTATGAATTCCACCAGGAAAAAATTGACTATTTAGGCTATCGCATATCATATGATGGCATAGAAATGGTTCCGGGGAAAGTTCGTGCCATCTTGGAATGGGCCCCTCCCCGCACCAGGAAGCAACTTCAAAGTTTCTTGGGATTTGCTAATTTTTACCGTCAATTTATCCCTGCTTTTGCAAAGATTGCAATGCCTATCACAAATCTCCTAAAAACCAAAGGGGAGGTGAAACCAAAGCCTAGTAAACCACTGGAGTGGTCCCTGGAATGTCAAGCCGCTTTTGAGAAGCTGAAACGACTGTTTGCTGCTGAACCAGTACTCAAGCATCCGGACATGGACGCTCCTTTTGTAATCCAAGCCGATGAGAGTGACGTAGCAGTCGGGGCGGTGTTACTACAAGCAAACGAGATGGGGACTCTGCAACCATGTGCATATACTTCCCGAAAACTAACTGAAAACAAAAGATGGGCCATCTGGGAAAAAGAAGCTTTTGCAGTTCGCTGGGTTCTGTTAACCTGGAGGCATTTCTTAGAAGGGGCAAAACATCTATTTGAGGTGTGGACGGATCATAAAAATTTGGAGGCTTTCAAAAACGCTTTGGAAGCTGTCTCCCAAACAAGTTCGCTGGGCACAGTACTTTAAGCGCTTTAATTTTTCATTGAAGTACATTCTAGGGGGAAAGAACTTCATGGCGGATGCTGTATCTAGATTACCTCAATATAATAGTGCTCGCCAAGAAGTGGTATGGCCTATTGTCCCAACCAAACAGTTGGCATCTCCAGTGGTTACCAGAGTCCAGAAAAAGGAAGTTGATTTATCAAATGATTTAACTGCACAATTAAAAGACACTCTAAAACTTGATGATTGGTTCCTTGCTCACTCAATCCATCTCTGTATGGTTAGAGATGGATTGGCATGGGTGGGGGCCAAATTATATGTGCCAGGAAAGCTGAGAAACCAAATATTGCAGCAAGCTCATGACTCTAAAGCTGCTGGACATTTTGGATTCATGAAAACCTTACACTTGGTTAAAAGGCAATTTTGGTGGCCTACCTTGAAAAAGGACATTGAGACTTATGTGGCTAGCTGTCCTATCTGTGCCTCAGCCAAACAGCCTCCTGGTAAACCAGCAGTGAAAATGTGGCGAGACCAACTGCTCCATGGAAGGAAATTTCTATGGATTTTATAGTGGAATTACCTGAAAGTGCGGGGGGGGGGATACAGTTATTTGGATAGTAACCAATTTGTTTTCCAAACAGGTACATTTCATTACCTTGTCCGAGATGCCCACATGATGATATACACAACTTTTAATTGGATGAGCCAATTGAACTATTGGGGGTGGGAACGTTGCTATTACTTTGTATATGTGATTTATGCGCCCATTATCTCAGATTCAGAATTCTTTTGTTGCTACCACTTGATTTCCAGTAGAAGGTATCTTTTCTCTGATTAATGAAGTCTAAGTATTTATTTTGTTCGATTTTGAATGGAGCACCAGCTGACATGAAGTGTTAGTACCACTTGATAATGCCTTGGTAAGGCCACACTTCGAATATTACATCCAGTTTTGGTTGTCAGATGTAAAAAAGATCTTGAGACTCTAGAAAGAGTGCAGAGAAGAGCAAGAAAAAATATTAGTTGGACCAGAGGCTAAAACATATAAAGAACGGTTGCTGGAATTGGGTATGTCTAGTTTCATGAAAAGAAGGACTAGGGGAGACACGATAGCAGTGTTCCAAGAAGCAATGGATGGAAACTATTCAAGGAGAGAACCAAACTGCAAGTAAAGAGAAATTTCCAGACAGTGAGAACAATTCATCAGTGGAATGACTTCCCTCCAGGAATTGTGGGTGCTCCAACACTGGAGGTGTTGATGAAGAAACTGGACAGCCATTTATCTGAAATGTTACAGGGCTTCCTGTCTGAGCAGGGGGTTGTACTAGAAGACCTCCAAGATCCCTAATGTTATTCTGTTACATTTTCCCAAATTCCCAAAGCAGAGATATGCACTAAGTTTAATGGCTGTGTGTCACACAAGTCCTAATTTTAGGTGAGAAAATGGGCAAATCTGAAAATTGCTTTCACTGAAGAAATATTTGGGGAAGTTTTATCAAGTTCATTGATTCTGCAAAATCTTCAGTGCCTTTCAGTAAAGTAATTTCGATACCATCGGCCATGGGATTCTCCTGGGGTGGCTTCAGGAGATGGGAATGGGAGGCTTTGTGCTATCCTGGTTCACTTCCTTCCTCTGTGGCTGCTCTTAGTCAGTGTTGATAGGAGGGGAGAGATCCAGCCCTCACCCACTGCTTTATGGTGTTCCGCAGGGCTTGGTACTCTCTCCGCTCCTGTTCAACATTTATATGAAGCCACTGGATGAGATCATCCATCACCATGGACTGAGGTATCACCAATATGCTGATGATACTCAGCAGTATGTCTCGGGCCATGGTGAGTTAAGTGATGCCATGTCCTCCCTCTCGCAGTGCCTGGAGGCTGTTAGGGGCTAGATGGGGAGCAACTGGTTGAAACTAAACCCTTGCAAGACCAAGTGACTCTGGGTTTGGAGTTCGTTGGCTCAGGTAGTGTTCTGTCTCACCTTTCTTCTTTCCAAAAGATGAAAGAGTACAAACTCACACAAATACAGGCAGGCAAACTGGCTCGGACTTCAGAGTTAATTCTTTGGAACTGATAATGTCCTTGGCATTCCAACACGCTCTGCCTGCCAAGTCCGAACTGATAACAAATAAAAAGCTACTTCTCGAAAATTACAAGGCAGACCACAAAATCATTCACAAAGAAAACCTGAAGCAAGATTAAACTTTGTCCCGTACAAAGTTCCAGCCGACAACACACCCACTTTTATCCCCTGTAGGGTGTGGCTCAATGACTCAGCTCACTCTCTGACCCTCCCACGCCTGCTACGTTGCTGCTCACGTTTCTTCCTACGACGCTGCTTAGGATCAAGCCAACATTCTTCCTCTTGACTCACTGTCAGGGGCAGCTCCGATATGCCTTCCTCCTGATTAATCTCAGGCTGTTCCTCTCAGTTGTCTGATGAAACCTGAGGCATTATCAGGGAGGAAGGCATTGCCAGAGAGGAAGGTCCTGGGGAGGAAGGCATTCCCAGTTCCTCCTCCTCATCTTCCAAGTCCTCTTCCTCTAACAGCACAGGCTCGGGAATTGGAGCCACAACAGGTAGAATTGTCACCTTCAGTCTTGGATGGGGTAGCACTACCCTAAACAGACCCTGTGTGTAATCTAGGGGTTTTCTTGGACTCACAACTCCTGCTTGAAGAACAGGTGGCGGAAGTGGCCAGGAGGGCCTTTGCACAACTTCAGGCTGTGTGCCAGTTACGCCCTTTCCTGGATCAATGGGCCTTACTCAGTCACTCATGCTCTAGTCACTTCATGTCTTGACTATTGCAATGTGCTCCACATGGGGCTGCCCTTGAAAAGCATCTGGAGGCTCCAGTTGGGGCAAAATGCAGCAGCCCATATGGTTTTGTGCAGACCCTGGGTTTTAAGGGTTTTTAAAAATGGTAATGTGGCAATCTATTTTTCATCAGCGTTGCAAAATTGCGAGTCAAAGAATTACAAAAAAAAAATGGGTCTCTAGCAGTTCCTGCCACTGTTTACTCCTATTTTTTAAAAACTGCTTCTAGCAAAATACAAAATGGAGGAGAACCTAGCAGAACAAGATAACCAGAGAAAACTATGCTGGCCGACAGCAACTTGAACCTGCAATTCTGCTTTCCATGTTGTGGAAGAACATAAAAATAATCCAGGCCAAACAAGGTGGGGGAAACAGAAGAACAGAGCACTCTGCACACTTGCTTCACTTCCTGAAGGGAGAATAGAAATCTAGTATCTTTTCCATCTCTTACTTGATTTGGAGGTTCAACAGCTGTTTGCTCTTCGTCATAAAAACCAGAAAGTTTCATTCTTTGTTTCTCTGTAAGGAATAAATAATTTCAAAATGCATAATTAACAAAATAAGAGGAGGTATTCCAAAGGGGAGAAGAGAGAGGGAAGGCAAGACAGATGGGGAATCAGAGGATCTTCCATTACCTCCTGAGATCTCCTGACTTGGATCTTCCCAAGGGATCTTCCTGAAAAGTAACTCCTGAGGGGGATTTGATGGGTTCTTCTTTCCCTCAGGATCTCTGATCTCCACAGAGCAGCACTTCAAATAGGAGGAAGGAAAAAAGAAGCAAAATTAACATGACATAAAGTGGATTCTTATATTCGGAACACAACCTCAAAGCCCCAATATCCATCCATGTGGCTGAGTGAGAAAACAATGGAATAATGTTCTACAACAACTAGAGAATTGCCACATATTGTGAACGTGGGAGAAATTTGGGAAGGAGGGATGAAGCATTCAAGCACTCTATTTATTCCCTTCCGAGCTCCCTAAAGTCTCCCACCTGCCTCTGGAGCTGCTCCTTCTGCTCCTCCGCCTGGCTCAGGAGGAAGCCTTCCGCCAGGGCCACTGCCTGGGAGCTGCTCTCTGCTCCACACTCCCGCACCCAGCACTGCATCTCTGGGGGCAGGAAAGCCAAGAGCCGCTCCAGAACCACCAGGTCCAGCATCTGGACTTTGCTGCGCTTTCCTGGGCTCAGCCATCGCCTGCACAAGTCATGGAGTCGGCTGCAAAGTCCTCGGGGACCCTCAGCCTCCCAGTATTGGAAGCAGGTCCAGGGCGGAACTTCTGAAGGGAGGATGGTTCCCTCCTGCAGGACCTTCTGCCCGGTTCTGGTCCAGCTCTCCCCACAGCTCACAGGCTGAAGAGCTGCGGGGCCTTTTCTGCTCCCCTCCTTGGCCAAAGGGGGGGTCTCCATCCTTCCTCTCTCCGGCAGAGCAACTCCAAAGGGGTCCAGGGACTCGGTATGTGTGTGTGTGTGTGTGTCTCCAGGGGCCTCTTCCTTCACGGGACCATTTCTGGCATCACAGGATGGATCCCTGCTGGTCCTTCCTTCCCACTCCAAGGAAATTGTGGCTTGCAAAGGCTGCTGAGAGCTTTGCAGTTCCGGATCTGGAAGGGAGAGAAAAACCAATGCCCAGGATTAGACAGGGGGATTCAGCCCCTGGACCCCCTTCCCCAACCTGCCCGCAGCCCCAAGCAGCTCCTCCCACTGCAGGGCCCAGATCCCCCCAAGCAGGGCTGGGAAGGAGGCAGCTGGAGAGGGGCCCCGCATCTCTCCCACTCTAAAGACAGGATGGTGCCCTCGGGAAGCCCGGTGCAAAACCTGCCTCCTCCTCCTTGCCCGGCTTCTCTCGTCTCCTGCTGGGCCTCTGCCAGGCTCCCCCTCCCCTGGGCAGAGGGCAGCTGGGGAGCATGGGACACAGGAAGAGCCCCCTCCCTCACCCGTGGCACGTCTGGATGTCTCCTTGCCAGACTCTCCCGCATCCTCACCTCCTCCCCAGGTGTTCAGGACAGCGAGTGCGGCATCCTAGAGAGGCAAGGCTCAGTGATGTCAATTCCTTTCCCGCCTCCTCTGAGAAAACCGCCGTGACGTTCGCCCTCCAGTGGCCCAATGGGGAAGCACCTGGAGTTCCCTTCCCTTGGAGGAGGGCGCCCCCTGGTGGACTTGGGGCAAAGGGCCAGGATGGCAGAAAGGGCGGGAAAGAGGACCGCATGGGAGGGGGAAGGGAGGGGGCGGGGATGATGGGAATGGGAGTAGGGGGAAAGGCCTTTCTCCGAGGCTCCCTGTCAAGGACTTCGGAGGCGGCTCTTTCTCCGCCTTCCTCTCCCTCCTGTCCGGGAACCGTCGGTGGAGACGGAGGGAAAAAGCCTCTCGGGTGGATCTGAATTCGCCTCCCTCAGGAGCCTCCGCCCTGAGGGCTGCGCAGAGATCGGAGGAGACCTCGAGAGGTGCCGGAGTCCCCTCAGAAACGGCCGGGCGGTGGGAAGACGAGGACCGGGAGCCTCGCTTGGACGCCCAGCTCGGGTCTGGCGGGGGTGGCGGGAGGGAATTGGGCAGGGAGGCCCCGAGGCGGGAAAGGACGGATCCTCCTTCCTCCTCCGCGCAGCCGCCGTTCTCGGGCTCGGCCTCCCAGCGGAAGGGCAGGGACCCCCGGCCTCTTCTGAGGAGACCCCCGGAAAGGCTCCGCGGGGGAAGGAGGGAGGGAGGCCGGGAGGCTCCGGCGCGGAGGAGGGGAAGCGGCCGAGAAAGCCGAGGGAGGAGGAGGAGGAGATTCCGGGCCTTTCGCCTCAGGGAGACTCCCAGGACGGAGCCGCCGCTTCTCTGCGCCCGCCGCCCGAGGGAGGAGGAGCCCTTGGGCCGCCCCGGAGAAACGGGGACTCCCACCGCCTCCCTGGAAGCCCCTCCAGGCCGGATCCCCCTCGCAGGTTTCGCCCGACGGTCCCCTTTTCCCTCCCAGGGGGACCGACCGGGGCCCCTTCCCCGAAACAGGCAGGCAGGCAGGACGGACGGAGGGAGGGCGGTGGAGAGACTATATATATAGTATACACTTAAATATATACCAGGAGACTTCAATATATTCCGTTTCCAATCATAACCTGTAAGCCGCCCAGAGTCCCCTTATAGAGGAGACATCATAGAACAGAACGATGGAACGGACCATGGAGATCATCTAGTCCAACCCCCTCCTCAGGCAGGAATCCCTTCAAACCGTTTCAGACAAGATGGGCATCTTAACAAAATGTAACATATGTAAAAACAAAATCTCTTGGGCCTTCTTGTGGCTCGATTTGGAGAGGGGGAATAATGAGGACATCTAGACGGATCCTTCTGGGGTCTCCCAGCCCCTCCCTCAAGCCCCATTTTCTCTGATTACCCCCCACCTTCTCCCCTCCCCCTAATCTTCAGCCCTTCTAGGATTTGTGGCTCCCTCTTCTCCCCCCAAAAAACAGCCCCCCAAAGACTACCTCAAAGGGAGGGTCTCCTCCCCCTTCACAAGAGGGGTAGACGGGGGGGGGCAATTGAAGGGGGAAAGTCAGAACTCCCCCCATTCATCAGTTCCCCCCCCCCCGTGGCTCCCCCTGCCCCCTCCCAGGTCCTGATGGTGCGGTGGAGGATCATGGGGAGGGGCAGTCCTGGTCTCCTCCCCAAATTCAGCACCCTCCCCAGAAGGGACCGAGGCTAAAATGCTGCCTGACCTTCACAGCCTCAGAGGGAAAAAAACCAAAGGTTCTGAAGTTTGTAAAAATTCTATTTTTCTTCTACTTTTGGTGGCGTTTGTGGATTCAGGACTGAACCTGCCTCAGTTTCCCTCTTTCGCATCTCCGCCTCTTTCCAGGTAACCGGCTTCGGGGACTCCGGATCCGGGTCTAAATCGCGGCCCCATTCCCGCCCAGTCACGAAGCGGGGGGGCAATGGCGGTCCGACTGCGTCTCTTTTCAATTCGGCTACCTTCCCACGACCCCCCCCTCCACGGTCACAAGGAAGGGAGACGGCGATCCCTCTTCCTTCCGCTGGGCGAAGTGGGATGAGCGAGGGAGCAGAGACCACACGGAGATCGAGGATTCTCAAACTCCCGCCCCTCTTGCCTGCGACCCCTTTCCCTTATGGGGTCTCAGCCCATTTCTCCCCCCAGGAGCACTAACGGCCCCTCCCCCTTCTCATCCCCCCCCCAAACTCCCTCCTTTGGGGGGGGTCTCCTTCCTCCCTTCGCTTCCAGGGATCCGGCCCAGCGCCCCCACCAGCACCACCGGCGGGAGCCCAACAAAAGCCATGGATGCCGCCCCAAAAGAGCCCCCAAAGAGAGGGGAGGAAGGCATGGAGGCGGAATCGGGGGGGGGTCTGAATTGGGGGCAGGGGCCGTTTTTCTCTAACTTCGGGATTGGGGGGGTTCATGAAAGCTGAAAGACCAATGAAAATCCTCCCTTCTTGCAGCATCATCGGTCTCCGGGCAGTCTCCCTTGAGTTCACCCGATGGCGAAGAGAGTTGGGCGCAGAGAGCGAAGCGGAGAAAGTGGGAGGGGGGTCTTTTCAGTCTTGGGGGCCCCGCAGGTCAAGTGCGGGTTCAGGACAGCCCTGGAGGGGAGTATGGACTTCCTTTTGCCCCCCCCCCGCCCCCGCAAATCCGGTGTAGATTAGGGCTGCAGTGGATGGGAGAAGGGGAGGCGCAGCCCCACAGCCAGCGAGGACTTGGAGGTCTCTTAGCCGGTTGATTGGGGAGTCGTGCACACACACACACACACACACACACACACACACACACACACTGCCCCCCCCCCCCCCCCCCCAAATCTTCTGTCTTTGGCTCCTTTGCTTGCAAAGGGGCTGCCGGAGAGCCTGTTGTGCCCCCAGCATTGTGGGGTTTTCTGACCCACCGCAAATACCAGTAGCAGCTTGGTTTGAGGTACAAGGATCACTGTTGTGGATCTCAGTGGGGGAAAAATAAGACCCCTTCATCCCAGTGTGTCACCCTATTCTGCAAAACCCCGGAAAGCAGGAGGAGAAAGAAGGCAAGGAAAATGACCCTTCCTGGCCGGAAGAGCCATCAACCCACGGAAGAGGAGTTGCCTTCGGATGTTGTGGGAGCTTTCAAAAGGAGCCTGGACTGCCCTCTGTCAGAAATGGTGCAGTCTCCTGCTTTTGGGGATGGGGTTGGACTAGATGACCTCCAGTGTCTCTTCCGGCTCTGTTATTCTGTTAAAGAGATGGTCTGAAATGGAATAAGGGTTTCCTGCCTCTGACTAGGAGGTTGGAGTAGAAGACCTCAAAGGTCCCTCCCAACTCTGTTCTTCTCTTCCATGTTGTTCCATTCTTCCGTCCTTCCCTCCCTTCTACTTTGTTGAACTCACTGTGAGGAAAACCTGGGGCATTTTGTGAACCTAAGTGGACATCTGGTTCACCCCTGCATGCACACAGAGGAAAGTCTAGCTGAGAATCGTGAAGAAAGAAAGTGGAGGGTCCCCGCAGAGCCTGCCATGATCACCCCTTGAGCTGCAGCCCCCCAAAACTGAAAGGACTTCCCCCCCCCCCCATCCACTTTCACTTTCCGTCTCTGCTCCGAACTACCTCCTCCTTCAGTTGAAGTCACAAAGGACTCTGCCCGGAGACTGATGATGCTGAAGCAGGGAGATTTCCCATTGGTGCTTCCTCTCGTTCTGGCCCCACCCAGCTCAAAAGTCCGAGGAGACACACACACATACACACACACATAGAGAGAGATACAAATACAGACATACACACACACACAAAAGTGTTCATTTCATGGGTAGATTCTTCCGTGGGAAGAGCTCTTGCACTGCATGACAAGGATGGAGGGAGAGAGGTAGCGAGGGGAAGTTGGGGATCATCCACAGACACCCCCCAAACGGGAGGGAATCCCCGGAAAACCCGCTAAACCAGGAAGAGGCGCCGCTTCGTTTCGGGGCAGAAAAAGGCGATTCCCCTCCCTGAAACCCGCGTCTCCCTTGCTGGGAACGTCTGGACGTAGCGGCTCCTTCCGCTCTCCTGCCCCTCCAACCCCCTCTTCATACTGTGGGTCAGGACCCCCCTTTTCCTCACACACCACCCCGAACAGAGATCCCGAAGTGAAGTTGGCCGTTTCTCCTCCGCTTCCCGCTCCTTTCCTTGGAGAACTCCAGTAGGTTGGACTAGATGACCTCCAGGGTCTCTCCCAACTCTGTTAATCTGCTATCTTGCCACCATCTCAAGCTGACTAAGAATCTATATACTTTTTTCTGCAGAAAATCAATTTACGTACAAAGTAAAACACGTTGGAAGGAATTTTGTCCGTATCGAAGGGCAGATCCGGAGCTTTTTCCCCGGGAATGTCCGCCTCTTTTGGCCGTGGAGCAGGAAGCGCCTCTGAACCAAAAGGCTCCTTTTTATTCCCTTTTCACTCCCGAGACTCTCGGAGGAAGGAAACGCAGATCCCCCCCACAAAAAAATCCCCCCTTCTCCGCCCCCCAAAAGGAACCGAGGAACCCAGCCGGTGGAGGTGAAGAGTGGAGGAAAGCCGCCATCTTGGTCGCCCCCTTCTGATTAATCTCAGGCTGTTCCTCTTGGTTGTCTGATGGAACCTGAGGCATTATCAGGGAGGAAGGCATTGCCAGAG